TAAACTGCCTACTATTTTTAAATCGTTTTCTGTTTCTGTGCAGTTCTAGGCTTTGTCAGGAGATGATTTCTGTGTACAGTACCATTTCTTTGATACCCATTGTCCCCCCTCTGTCTGATGTACCATAAGCTGCAACCCCCAGCAGGCCAGGCCTCCTGCTCCATTAATAAGAATAAATATTTCTTTTCAATTTTTATTTTTCAAAGTCTTCTCAATTCTTCTCCTGTCTATTTTTCCTGATAAACTTTTCCTGATAAACTGAACTTCCAGCAAATGATCCCACTGGGATTTTTCCTGGAATTTCATTCAACCTGGAAATGATTCCAGGAGGCACCGATGTATTCACATGACTCATTTTTCTTGATCATGAACGTGGTGTGTTTCTACTTATTCAGCCAATTTGTAAATGTTTACATTTCCCTCATAGAGGCCTCCAGACCCCAAATTCTCATGAAGCAGATAGCTCCCCAAGCCTCCATCCTGAGATGCTAAGGAGGAACAGAGGCACAAGCATCTCAGAGGCATCTGTCCTGCATTTCATGGGCCCGCAGCCTCAGGCCACCTGCTCTCGCCACCACCATCACATGCCCTTGAACGTTCGTCACCAGCATGGTGTTTTGATTTAGTTAACGCAATTCTTAACGTGTCTGCAAGTTGTGTCTTCTCTTTTCATGTTGTCTCCTGTCCTGGCTTGAGCTGCAGACTCCCATGGGTGGGAACCAGATCAAACAGACTGACTTTGTTTGTGTGAAATGTGAGTTTTAGTTGATCGTAAGAAGACCCAGAACCCTGATATTACATTCGAACCATTGACATTTCCCTCTTCAAATGAGCACGTCTCCGTAGCGGAGGCGCTATTCATAGCCTCCTATTGGCACAGGAAATGTGGGCTGGTTTCCTCCTCTGGAGGCGCGGTGGGGACACAGGCACCCTGCTTGTGGCTCCGTGTAGAGAGCAAAGCCTTGTTATCTATAAATAACATCTGTGAAGTTTACAGTTAGACACAAAACTGAATTCTCTCTTGCTAGTCTTTCAAATGAAATAAAATCAAGATTACGATGGGAAGATTGGCAATGAGAGGAGAAAGGAAAGAACTTAGCGTTTCGTTATTTCTGTTTTTCTCTTTGACTTAAGAGAAACACTTAATGGTCACCTTACACTGTAGAAAGAGATGGGTTTAAATTCTCGCTGCCTTTTCAAGGGGGCATAGCTGCAGTCCGCTGTGGGGTTGAATGGACAACGTCTCTGCATTAGTTTGCTGAGGCCACCATAACAAGATACAACCGACTGGCTGGTTTAAACAACAGATTTATCCTCTCACAGTTCTGGAGGCCAGAAGTCCAAGATCAAAGTGTGTGCAGGGCTGGTTTCTCCGGAGGCCCCTCTCCTGGGCTTGTCAGTAGTAGCCGTCTGCTCCCTGTGTCCTCATGTGGCTGTGTGTGTCTGTGTCCAGACCCCCTCTTATGAGGATCCCCTCAGATGGGACTAGGGCCCACTCTGACAGCATCACTTTAACCAAGTCTCCTCTGTAAAGGCCCCATCTGTAACCACAGTCGCATTCTGAGGTGCTGGGGGTCAGGGCTCCGCCATGTGGATTTGGGGAAGACACAGTTCAGCCCGGAACAATACCTTTATTATTGTTAAACTACTTGCCACCAGCTCATGCTGTGGTTTTGGAAAGTTACTGGGCTTGTACGGCTTGAGTGTTGGAAATTTTCTCCTCTTATCTAGAAGATGACAGAATGTTCCCTGAGCTCCACCATTCAAGCTTCTCTGCTCTCAGTTCTATGACTTTGCTTCTTCTATATGGAGAGTTGAAAACCGCTGTGACTCAAAAATATGCTCCTCTGTCACCATCACT